ACTTGTTTGCTCTGTCTGTGCAGACCTCCCAGCGATGGAAATCCCTCTCTCCTGGCACAGGAAGGCAAAGCCCTGAAGGAGAGGTGGACTTTATTACAGGAGATGCTGCCCCAGCCCAGACAGGGAGTCTCTGGCCCTGACAATGCAGACAGAGTGCTGGGGGACAGGACCAAGGCACGCAGGCAGCACGGCAAGCCCAGGAGACACTGGGCTCCTGACTGCCCTGTCAGCGCTGAGCATCCTTTGAGCTGTGCTGCTGCAAACCTGTGCCAAGCATGGTATTCTGAGCTCAGCTGCGTTCAGGTTGTTTTCTGCTTCACCAGGCACTCACAGGTTCCTCCTGGAGAGCTGACTTGCTGCTCTCCCGTTCTGCCCTGCCGCCCTTGCCCCTCCTATCCCCTCTCACCCCATCTCACAGTAATAGCCATCAGTTTTAACAGCATGTCCTACACTGGAGGTTTTGTAGTTCCAGCTTTTAAAATGATTTAGTGTGACAGTTTAGTGCTGAATTAAAGAAAAAAAAAAAAGAGTAAGAGAAAGGAAGAGAAGAAGCAGAGAGAAAAAGGAGAGACAGTACCCTTAAGGCAACAACATTATGGAGCAGTGATCTCAGAGGAACAAGGGTTCTTCTCTGGTTCAGATGTGCTTGTCAGAGCTCAGTGTCGTCTCTGAACAAGAAATCTCTCTTACTGGCCCAAGGCACAGTTTTGTGGTCAAGAGGACAGAAAATAAAGGGAGGGAACTTCAAAGAAGCATAAGCTGCATTAGCCCGCTGGGGCGGGTGGCTGCGGCACATCCCATGGCTGACAATTATGACCTGCATGCCGAGAAAGCTTGCCTCCCTCTTGTCAGAGGGATAAGACACAGGCTGTGAGCTTTAGAGCTTTGAGGATGTGTACAGTTCATGATGAAAGATAGCACTTCAAAGCCCTCTGCCTAGAAACCCAGGGAGAAGTAAGAGTGGAGGGTAAGCAATCTTTTTTCCTGGGGGGTGCATATGCGGGGGAAGGATAAGACTTACTTTCACTGTCATTTATTATTGCCATGAAAATGAAGCCTTGCACTGTTTATGGAATCTCTCATTAAAAGGATCTCTTGATAAATCGCTTGACAAACATTCATTAATTAAGTCTCTGAGCGCACTTGGCTGACAAGCATTAGTCTTCATTTCGCAGGAGGGGGAAATTGAGGCATGGAGCTCAGCGAGCCCCCAGCAGCCAGGGCAGGACTGGGTCCTGGCCAGCCACTCTGCGCCACCAGACAGATGGATTACACTGCTCCCTCCGTGCCCAGCTTGATTCGGATCCAAAGACAGGAGCTCAACAGACTTCAAAGCTCTTTTTCCCCCCATTGCTGCCCAGTGCCTCCCGGGCTGCAGGGCAGATGGGGATGTGCAGGTCTGGCTCCTCCATGGGCATCTCATGCCCCAGGGGCTCCTGGACACTTCTTTCATCTCACAGGCACCTCCCCACTCATAGCCTGCCCGGGGTTATGAATGGAGAAACCCTGGCTGCTGCCCAGGCTCCACTTTTCGATGGAGGTTTTCCTCCCTGGAGCCTCTGATCTATCAAACCAAGCAAGAGAACAGCTCCTTTAAGACATCCATTTCACTCTCACTGCTACGGTGGCCTTGGGTTCAAACACTGGGGACTCAGCAGGTCACCTGGGCTGCAGCTGCAAGGCTATTGTGGTACAAACCTCTCCTGCTTTCCCTGGCATACTGCAGCTCTGGAGCAAGGACTGGTGCAAGGAAGCTCAGGTGCCTCCAGCCAGACCCACAAGGGAAGCCCACAGCTGGGGGGAGCCAGCAGTGGGGATCCAACACTAAAGTCCAGAAAATACTAACTGTCCTACCCCACACACTTCAAAATATGATCACAGCAGTCAGGAGGAGGTCCTTGCCATGACTCAGGGGTGACTGTCCCTCTCACTTCCTCAGCCCCACAACTCATCTGCCTTCCTGTCCCTGACCGTCATCCCTCTGCCTCATGCTCCTACCCGGAGACAGAGGGACAGATTTGGCTTTCGCCTCTGCTTCCCCTGCCTTTCCTGGTACTCGCCCTCCAGAAAAAGGAAGGGCTGGCTGGCAGATTCCTGTGAGAAAGAAGCTCCATGAGAGAGCAAACAGACCTTTATTATTTGTTTATTGATTTATTCTCCAGGAGGATGTAACACCCGGCCCTCGGCAGCAAATGCCCTTGTAACTCTGTACTGCAGTGACAAGTTGGCCAAACAAACACTTTTCTGCATCAGAAAACAAAGACTGTCAGCAGAGCAGATCAGGGCTTCTCTGCTCTTACTTTTAATTATTATTTCCTCACACAGAGAATTTAATCTCCTCTTCTGCTGGAAGCTCAAAGTGCCCCATTCAGCCTATTTCACAGCTGTGACTACTGAGGTCACCCCGGGTCAGGACACCTCTCTCTGCAGCACAATAGTGCCTGGTCCCCGAAGTGGACATCCACGCCGTGCATCTGCTGCTGAGATGAGCTGGTGTCAGGAGGAGGAGCACGGCCACCACCGGGGAGGGGGCAAAGGCAAACGTTACCCAGAGTCCCAGACAAAAGATGCTGCTCCTCCGGCCTTTTGTGGAGCTCTCAAATACGGTCAAAGGTTACATTTTACAGCTGTTCCAGCCTCAAATAAGCGTAACCCGCCTATCTTAATACTTAATTGCATTGCTAAGCTGCTGATAAACTAGGACGGCATAAAACAAATACACGGGGCCAAGCACATCCCCAGGGAAAGTTTGTGGGAACAGAGGGAGTTGCACCGAACAATGAACTGGGAACACGGGGAGTTGCACCAGACAATGAATCCACTTTATGTGTTTTAGAAGCCTGGTTACCTTCAATAAAAGCTGCAGCATGGATGCTGCACATTTGCTAGCTAATATCTCTCCAAAAAGGCCGCCAGTGTTTACAAAAGAAGGGCACAGTGCAAATGCCCACGGGAGAGGACGAGCGCGTGCCGCACCATGCGTGTGCCCATCAGGAAACCGTGTTGAGCTAATCCCCTCCCCACAGAGCCACCAGGGCTCCAGCCCTGGAGAACACAGCCTTAAATCAACGCTCTTATCTCACAAAAGGAATTTAAGTGCAATGCTTTGAAAGTCACTTTCCCCCGGCCATATGGCATCCCCGAGCCTGGTCGTGTAGGAGCGGCGTTCATTTGCATGTGCAAGAGACAAATCTGGCTCTTGCATCGCGGGAGTGATAACAGGGCGAGGAGTAAAATTTAGCACTGTTTGGGTTTCTGCACAAAATCTTTGCAGAGGCGAATTTCTCTCACCTGTCAAGCCAAGTGCCAAATGCTGAGGTAGCCCCAGGGGAGCTTGCCCACGATGGCAGGCCATGCCATAAGCGAGGTACACCAGTACAGGGCCAGGGTAAAAGAGAACTCTGAGACAAAACCCATGATCTGAACCCAAAGCTGGCAATGTCTACACCCACATTAAAGGAAACAGGAACAGGCTGAAATTATAGAGATATAAACAGCACTGAACACAAACTTCAAGACAGAAAATTCACAGGCATTCGCACATTTAACTTCCTGATAGGGAGGTATTTTGAAAACTCATGTTGCTGAGCTGCTCCATGATATGAAGGGGTGGGGGATCTTGGGCTTCAGCACAAGGAAGAGCCAACAAAGCTGCTAACGCTTCAACATAAGCCTTTCCAGCAGATCTCTGTGCCAGGCATTATGCAGGATGGCAAGATTTTTGTTTTGCCGAGGCAATGCCATATGGGCAATCTGGTTTGCCTTATCAGCAAGCCAAGTGAAAGAAGAGAAATGTTCTTCCCCACCATTTGTTTAAATTTCCCTCTTTCCCCCAGATAAAGCTGCATACTTTTGTAAAAATATCTACAAATGTAATAACATAATGGGCTTGTCATCAGTTTCCACATTTGGCATTGAAAATCTGCAAAGCTTGGAAAGAAAGAGAATTCCTAATAGTTACTGCTGCTGAAGAGCCCAGCTAAAAACTGGGCCTGGATCCAGGTGATGGAGCACACAACCACCAAAATGCCTTTCCATGTCCGGCACCTACTCCTACACAACTGCAAATTGTTCGTTTCTTGGCCCCACTGAAAAAATGCCAGAAGGTTATTTCATCACTTCTTGTTGATGGGCCTCATCTCCCCTCTTTGGGGCATTTGCATGCCCCTAACATTCACTACTGCTGTGAATTGATTTTATTTTGCAGCTCAATGCAGAGGATGCTGCAGATAGCCACAAGCCCTGGCAATTAATTTGGAGCCACACAAACAAAGTGAAACCATTCCCAGTACAACGCTTTCCACCATGTACCACAGTTTGCCTTCTCCAAGGCTGTTTCTTTGGCATTTCTGCCCAGTATCCCTCTCGGTGAGATTATCCCTGGGAAAGCAGAGCAGCCGGGTTTTATGGCTGTGCTGAGCCCTCAGAGGAGGGCTTGGCTTATTTAGAGATCCGTGGCTGTGCCCCCCAAGGGGATGTGGAACAAGGCAGTCTCTTAGCAACACCCAGTGCCTATCACAGGTAGCTGTCATTAACAGCGGGAGTGGAGCTGTGCCGTGCTGAGCACCCTCCACCACGTCCTGGAGAACTGAGACACAAATGCTCCGTGGGCACTGGCTGGGGAGGGATGTGCAAGCCCTTGTCAGGATGACACAGACAGCACTGAAATACTGATTTCTTTAAAAGAAATGAGGATTTGATTGTATTAGAGGGAGAAGCATATCCCCTACAGTAAGGACTGAATTCTCCTTTGTCAGTAATCCTTCTCTCCAAGACACTTAATACAAATCTTTCTGAAAGAGAAGAAGTCGCACCCCACACTGAGACAATGCAGCTCTAAATTTTAACTTAAATCATCACAAGCCTGTAAAGCTGATCTTTATGTGTGTGGCCAAGCTACAGGCTCTGGCAAAACTGATGTCCTGTTATTCACACGCTACGGATTCACAACCCAAATCTCTTGCTGTAAGATAAGGAAAGCATTTCTCCAGATCACTTACCTTTATTTGCTGCAGGGGAGAACAGCTTCTCAGAGCCTACAGAAGCCTGAAAAAGGAAGAGAAAGAGAGGGTGAATAATCGTGAAGGAGAAATTCGGAAGGCTTGCTCACAAAAACACAGCTCATAAAACAAGTGGGTTATCTGGAGACCTGCAGTTGCGCATTGCACCTGGAGGGTGCAATGTTGTGCCATTAAAGAACGAGCATGCATCCTGAGGAGATGAAAGCCAAGCAAGAGGACTGTCCTGATCTCACCCAACTACATCCTCCTGTCTCGTTTATTTAGGCAGCCATGCAATGCACAGCTATTTTATCCATGATTCCTCATATAAAAACAAAACCAGTGAAACTGCTATCAAGCTGAAGGAAAAAAAAAAAAAAAAAAGAAACCAAACACATTTCAAAGGCTCTCTCACTGAAAATAAGCTCAATTCTTGCTGAACATGCAAAATGTAATTTGTGTATTGGAAACACAAGTTGCAACTGAACACATCTGTATGAAGGAGGGTGTTGTTCAATATTATGCCAAATGACAGGTACATGCTGCTATGCACTTAGTTGACTATGAAATAAAATGACTTCCTCTTGGAAGAAGCCCGTATCCTTGCAGACTGGGTTGCACTATGCTGTCTGAACTTCACAGCAGTGTATTTGTGCTCCTCACAGCTCTGGGAAACAGTTAAAGAAATCCAATTAACCTAAACCTTGTAAACAGCTTCATGATAATCAGGGTCACTGGGTTACAGACAAGATGATAACGACAGACAGGGAAAAAAAGTCCATTCATGGTAACTAAAGCTTTTATGAGTTAATTTGATGGCTTCCTTTCCTCCCCCCACTGATATCAAGCAGTCAACCGATTTCAGCATAAGCTTTTCCTCCTCGCTATCTGATAAAATAGCAAGCAGCCTCTCCAGAATCAAAGCTGGTCTGGGAGCAGGAGCACGATCAACATTACTACCATCTACAAGAAAGTATCATCAACGTGTTGGCACTGACTGCTGCATGAATAAAATGGGTGAAGTACAAAGCTGACGAGCAAAAGATACTGACAGTGAAAAAAGCCTTTTTCCCCTGGCTCTGCTTTAAAAACAATTAATTAATTCAACACATGGCTGAACTAAGTTGATTTTTTTTTTATTTTATTGATTTTATTCTAAGGTGCCTTGGGAGATTTGCATGATAAAGAGCACTACAAATTGTATTACATTGCTATATATTTTAAATGACGACTCAGAAGGAAAAAAACAAATAGTAAAATGCAAGAAGTTCTGCATGAGATATAGTAAGAAGCAAGAGTGATCCATTAATGTTACTTCTAAGAAAAGTGGCACTGCAAGCACTGAATGTCTTACTTAATGCAAATGTATAAAAAAGAGAGGGAAAACAACATGAAAAATAGGTTGAGGCTGAGACACATAAGAAAAAAATTCTGAATTATGTCCACAACAAAGCTGCACGTGTAGCTGTGGCATGTATGATCATTACACAGCTCAGCAAAAAGATCCTAAAATCTTAGGGAAAATCAGTTACCTGCACGATCCCTTCACTGCATGGATTAAAAAGAGGAAGAACCAGGATTAAACAATGTTTTGCCTAGGCTGGTTTGCAAAGAAAGTGTAACAGTGTCACACAGCAGCAACAACAGTGGTGCATAAAACGTTTGACAGCCAACTCTGAATTTACAACCCATTGTTAGGAGATTTTTCACTTATAATCAACACCAAGTCACCACGGACGCAGAACACATCTGCAGGCTCTGGGAACCCACCCATGCTAACAGCTCACACAAAGCCAGGGCCTACTCTCAAAGCACTGCACAAGCTCTTGGACACGTGGCAGGTGGATAAATAAGATTCTCCCATTTTACAGGCAATGAAACTTCGGCGTGGCTTGCACTAAAGCCCCAGCAGTAAATCGGCCGCTGAGCCACAAATCCTAATGCCGGGTCCAGACGCTGGGGTGTGCAGCCCTCCAGGGAAGCTGCTTGGGAGAGCCCTTCCTGGGGAGCCAGCCACGGCTGCAGGACCGGCTCTGCCCTGGCAGCCACCCCAGCTGGGAGAAGCTTTGTGCTTCCCCTGGTTGGCACGGTCCAGCCTCACGGCCACCGCTCTGTGGGGCCACCAGCTCACTCCCTTCCGTGCACCTCAGTACCGCGGGCTCAGCGCGCAGCCGGGAGCTAAAGACCTCAGTGCTACAGGTCCAGACTACGTAAAAAACAATGTTGAAGGAAGTCAAGCCAGAAAATTCACTTTAAAGACAAAGTAAAACACCCGGATTATTGCTCAGTCTTCTGCTATCAGCATGTGCCACCACCTTCCACAATCAGAGTCAACATTTACAGAGCAGCGTTTTCAGGATCGCAGCTTCAGTTCACAGACGCAAACCTTCACACCTAGAGTTTACAGTAACTTTTGCTCTCACTTCTGGTGATTTCTAGCTCCAGATCTGAGCAGTTTTTGGCACGAGCATCATTCTGAAACAGTGAACGCCTGTGCTATAGGATATTCTGCGAGCTGCTGTAAAGGCAGGAGGGAAGCTGGGGGAGGAAGAGCCTGAATACATCATTCAACCCTATCAGTCACCCTTTAAAGAAAGCATACAATAAAACCTATGTGTCTGAGGGAGCCCACTAATGAGTGAAAAAATCCAGCAAACCAACACATCTGCTAAAACAAGTCCCCTCCCAAATACTGCTGTTCCAAGCAAATCATTTGCATATGTTTAAGAAGGGATTTAAAAATAATATTAATAAAGCGGAATTCTTCCCTTGTGAACAAAACCAGGCATTTGGAGTCATTTATGCAGAGTTCAAGCCATCACAGGAAATCACATGTTCTTTGATTGCAAAATGAAACTAAAAATTTCCTTTTTTCCCCTTCTTGTTGCCTCTTGCCTGTCTCCATCTGAAGAACCATTTCACAAACCCCTCAAGTTCCTTTTTGTTGCTGCATGAGGCAGCAAGACCTGCTCAGCCTGAAGTTCACAGACAGAAGACACCTCCACCCTTCCTTGTTCACTGGCTGCTCATCTCCCTCGCCCTGGAGCACAGCCCACAGCCACAGAACCCACCCCAGGCTTGTACTCATAAAAATGCTGCTTGCACAGTCCCACCCTCGTCCCCATTAACAATTGTGGCACTTGAAGCATATCTGACATCTGTCCTCAGAGCAGCAGTTTCTGAGGTAACCTCATGTTGCTGAAATCTCTAAGACCCAGCACCCTTTCGATGACACCAAGCCTTCCAGGTCCCCTTTGTGGCTTATTCAATGAAGTTACTAATCCTTTGTCACCTTTTGATTTTCTTTCTTTTCTGCTCTAGACCTAAGGGGGAAAAAATGCCTCCACCCAGTTCTGTGACAGCTTGAAACCAGGCTGAATACACTGCAGAGGAAAATAACATTTCTGCCCTTTTCTGCTTTGTGGAGAGCAAGCAGAGGAGTGGTGCTGCAGTCCCTCCCCCTTCCTCACCCTGAACCCAGCACATATAAACACTGATTGAATTTTCAGCACTAAAAGCTCAGCAAAGGCAGCTTTTTCCTCACATGTGAGGTGGTAACCACAAAGGATGTAGCACACCCTCTCTTCTGAAGGTGAGCAGTGAGGCATAATGAAGTCCATGCCTCATCCATCCTGGTTCCCACCAACCCAAGCCAGCTGAAAGGTGCAAGAACTCTTGCAGATTAATAATTTAATGATTATATATAACAGAACAACATCATCTGACAAAGACAGCGCTAAAAATTACGTCAGGCCTCACAGCAATTAATTATTTTTGTCCCCTTTATCTGTAGCCTATAAATGGCTAACAGAGAATAGAACTGCTCCTTATGACCAAAACAGAGGCTCTGTTGACCTTTATGCCATCTCCTGGAGCACCAAATGCCAGATCCAAGCCTGATACTCCAGAAGCCTGATAGCAGGACTCTGGGTACAGTAGGTAGAAGAAGGAGACAGTAAAATACAGTTTAAATTTTAGATCTGGATGGCTGCCTATCTACTAGACAGCCAAGAGCCAGTCTCAAGAGAGACTGTTTGCACAATTACTGAACTTAGCAAGCACTAAAAAGTTCACAAGAAAACCCTTCTCTGAGAGATTTCTTGGACTGTACTAGAAGTGCTGGATACACTTCAAGAAAGTTTGAGCATAAATCACAGACACCACCTGAAAATTTTGGATGAATTTTCATTCTGTCCTTTGATCTTTATCTCTTGCTTTTACCAACCACTCCAATGCCACTTGATCGTTTGTCCAGCAGAGAATTTCAGCACGTCAGTACTGCTTTACTACTTTGCAGTTCACTCTGCAAGTCATTCATACCAGACCCCTCATCCAGTAATATGAGAACAATAACTAAAACAGGAAGGTATTGTTTGGGTTGTGATTCTCTGTAGGAAATGGAAATTGATACATATGGAAAGGTGCGAGAGTAGCCTAGAAATAGCACATATGCACACAAAACCCCAAAGTAAAAATCCCCCTTAAGACTAACAAAGTAGTCTACACATTTCAGGATGTAGGAGCAGCCCATGGGTAACACTGCCTGCATTGTGAGGGGATGTTTCAAGGTAGCCTACAGTCTTTCCAAAACCTGCATTAGTTTTGGAGAGAAACCACAGCTCAGTTAGGAAGACAAAAGAAAAGTCAGACTTCAATTCACTCATTTTTGTGAACCTTCTAGGAATATCCAGCTTTGTGGTACACAGCTGGCTGGAACACAGCACAGCCCAGCTGTGTGAGGGATTAAGCAAGAGGGAACAGGACTTGTACAAATCCACACTGTGATTATCTTCCCACAGAATTTATAGACTGGGCTTTCAAGAGGGCTCAGCACTCAGCAGCTGCCTTTGGGGCATCAGCCTGACTGGAGCTACCGGGTATAGAGCATTTCCAAAAATCCATTTAGAAACCTGAATGGTGACCAGGTTGTTCTGAAAAATCTGGTTACAGCTGATAGTTGGGATCATTTATGGAATTCACAAATGTAAATAAGGACTAATAATAAATAATATTCCCAAAACAAGAGTCACCACCTTCTAGCAATCC